TCCAGGAGTCTAGTTAAGCCAGTGGTATGGAAAATGCAGGGATATGAGTTTCAACACCAGTTCAACACTCTGAAGTTGGGGGATGTGATATGGTATTAGGAGTGGACTGGCTTGCCATGTTTAGTCCCATGGAATTTGACTTTAAGGGGCTGAGTGTGAGGTTCAAAAAGGGAAAACAACAAGTGGAGTTGAAGGGAGAGGGTAATCAGGTGCACTTAAGGCTGATAAAAGGGAGTAGATTGCACAAGTGGGCTAGGAAACAAGCTTATGGGATCTTGGCACAGCTGAAAATAATAACTGATGAGGTACCAGATACTGAGATCATAACCCTAGAAATGGAGAGAGTACTGCAGGAGTTTGAGAATGTATTCAAGGAACCCCAAGGACTACCTCCTGAGAGGAGTCATGACCATTCTATTACCCTTAAAGAGGGATCCAAGCCCTTCCAGATCAAGCCATACAGATGTCCCTATGTTCAGAAGACTGAAATTGAGAAACTGGTGCAAGAAATGTTGGGAAATGGTATCATTCAGCTTAGTAACAGCCCTTTTGCATCCCCTGTACTGCTTGTGAACAAGAAGGATGGCACTTGGAGGTTCTGTGTAGACTATAGACAGTTGAATGAGCTGACAGTTAAGAGCAAATACCCAATACCCCTTATTCATGAGCTCTTGGATGAGTTGAATGGTTCCAAGTATTTCACCAAGATAGACTTGAGGGCAGGGTACTTCCAAATCAGAGTCAAGACTGAAGATATACCCAAAATTGCATTCAGAACTCATTAGGGGCTCTATGAGTTCAAGGTGATGCCATTTGGGCTGACCAATGCCCCTACTACCTTCCAGGGCTTAATGAACCATGTGTTCCAAAAGCAGCTGAGGAAGTCTGTACTAGTATTCTTTGATGCCATCTTAGTATATAGCTCAAGTTTACAAGAGCATTTAGGGCATGTTGCAGAAGTTCTGAACATCCTCAGGGAACAACAGCTGTGTGCCAAGAGGAGCAAATGTGTGAGAACCCGAGAAAATTATGTGTATGCCCTAAATTTATTTCATTTTATTTATTTTGATATTAGAAATATTATATATAACGAATAAACGGTTAAATTAGATGCATAATTGAATACCTATAAAATTGAGAATTTAGAAAATATCCTAGAATAGCGTAGAAATATTTTATGAATTAAATAAATATATGGCATGCATATCGTAATTTATATCATTTGCAAATATTACTAGACACGTAACATATACTATATAGCTCAATAAGTACATGTCTAATAAGTTTTTCTTAAAGCTAAATGTGTGAGAATCTATTAGATGAACGCAAGAAAATTTTCATGTGTTATTTAAAATTTAGTGCATATCCCACTTTATTTTCTTTTTGTTAGTGAATGATTATAGGTCTAAATTGTCCCTTTAATAAATAAGTGAGTCGATATATATCTTAGGAGGATTATATCATTTACACCATAAAACGGTAGTATTAGAATATGTTGTGGTATTAGGCAAAAAGAAAAGAAAAGAAAACGTGGAAGATATTTGCCTTCACACCTGTCCAAGCATTACTAATATCTAGTGGAGGAACTAATGGAAGAATAAAAGATAGTGCCTTCATTCTTAGTTGACCGAGAGGAAACAAGAAAGGAAAACAAACAGCGTTCCATTCACTTCCCCTGCTGCCTAAAACCGAGAAACAATAAGAAGGAAAAATAGAGAACCTCTCTTACCTTTTTCAAACATGAACACCGGCCAAGAGCCAAGAGAAACTCCAGCTCATTTAACCAAGGAATCGAGAGAGGGGTAGTTTGCTCATTGCATGACCAGCCACAAATTTTGACCAAATCAAAACAGCTTCCATTCTTTCTTGTTTCTATTCAGCTTGACCGAGAGCCATTTTCCCCTTTCTTCACTTCATGTTGGGGCCGAGAGAGAGAAGAGTTGAGAGACCTGTCTTTTTCATTTGTCCAACAAAGAAAGTAGAGAGCTTTGAGAGAAACTAGTGTGTTTTGTCTTCATTTCCAACCGAGAGAAAGAGATATTGCTCAACAAAATATCTTGCTCCTTGCCTCCATTTTTGACCATTCCAAGTAGCATGCAAATGTTGACCAAATTTATTCCCTTTTGTTTCTTTTCTTCAGTTCAACCGAATGAGAGAAAGAAAACAAAAACAAGACTGGTCCTCTGTTTTTTTTTTTACACCAACCAAGAGAGAAAAGGTGAGAGAAATGAGAGGGAGAGCTCCTTTCCCCTCCTTCTTACGGCCGAGAGAGAAGAGCTGAGAGAAACCCAAAAAAAACTCCAACCAGTCCTCTTTTCTTTTTCCTCAATCTTGAACATCAATCCAGAAACAAGAAAATTATAACTCATCCTAGCCAAGAATTGGGGAAGAAAGGCAGAAATTTCCGACTAAAAAAAAAAAAAAGAAAATCGTGGGGAAAGAATTTGAAGCTATAAGTTTCATTGCAGCTTCCATTCTTGCAAGATCAAAGGTAAACTTGCTAGCCAAACTTTCCATTTTTCTCAAGACACACTAAGATGATTGATGCATATTAGTTCTAGCCACGGAAATGGAAATTTTGTGGGAAAGTACTCTCATTAGAAGTTGATTTATATGCTGAAAATTTCCAGCTTTGACCGAGGGGGAAATGAGTTCAATTTACAGCCTCTTATTTTGACCTTTTGAGGAGTTTCCACTAGTAATTCATGCTATAAGTGTTGTATTTCTTGTTTAGTATGATATATAGCATGTTGTCTCTGATTTTGGTAGCAAATTGGTGGCTTACGTGTGAGAAAATTGGCAGCAACAAAGTTGAATAACTCCTGTGAAACCAATGGAGTGAAGCTGCAAGTTTGGTTCCTTTCTCCCAAGAAATCTTGCTGCAATTTATTTAAATGTACCGTATATATCTCCTATTTCTCTTTCTAGGACCTGCACATATTGTATTGTTTACCTTTAGGAGAAATAAAACTTGATTTGTGAAGAAACCTTGCTGGAAAATTTGTTAAGTTAATGAGCATGGACTGACTGATTGCATAAAGCTGGATATATCAATTGTACTTTGAATTTGGAGTGAAATTTTGCTAAGATTTCATGTTTTGTATCATGACAACTGTGTATGTAGAAGTTGGTATGTTTATATGGTTGAATCATAGTTGTATGTTCATTGATTTGGCTGAAAAATTGTCTAAGAAAGCTTGAACTTCGAGTGACAGTCACCTCTAGGCAGTTTTAGCAAAATGATCATAATTTAGTGTAGAAAAATTGAAATTGAGTACTGTCAATTGCGTTTGAAACTAGACTCATAGATCTTTCCAATGGTATAAAATTGGAGCTGTGGTTCATTTTATATATGCACCAGAAAATCAGCAAAGTTGACTGAAAAATTGGTCCTGAACAAGTAAAAATTGGGATGTTGTGGTAACTTGTGACTCAATTTGGATTAACTTATGAACCAAATCTCCTTGATGTATTTTCCAAAGATTGTTAGTATTTCAAGTCTAGTTTTAAATGAGCCAAGTTGTATAAGTTTTTGACATTTATAACTCAAGTTATGATTTTCCCAAAAAAATAATGCTTGCTGGAATTTCAGCCTTGATTGCTAAATTTTCAAGATGATTTTAAGCTCAATTTGCTCAAAATACGATATAAGACTTTAAACTACAAGTATGTGTTGGAAATGAACCAAAACCATGGACCTTAAGTGGTTTAAACTCCATTTATTTCACTGTTTTCATAGCTGGAATTCTACCCAAGGCTGACCGAAAGAGATAGTGATTTTGTTTAGCTTTACAATTGGCTTTGTGTGGTGAAATCATCTTGTTAATGTCTTAAACATATGATTAGACATTAATTTTGGTATGAGTAGTGAATTGAAGTAGAAAATGAAAGGTTGAGAGGTGAAAACTTCACTTTTACATGTTTCATGTCCCAAGCGATAAATTTCCAGTTTTAGTTGAGGAAAATGAGTGTTAATATGTTAATATCATGTTTAATATAAATGTTAGCCATGTCATGTGATTTTTCTAGTTTGTACATGTTCTATTAGTTTGCTTATGGAAATTTCAGCTTGTAGAGTTGAACTTTTGCTTGATGGCCAGCCTTGGTACGGAGACACGTGAGTTGAATAATTGTCTATTTTTGGTGGCTTTACGGTCTGAAACTAGTAGCTTGTATAGCCTATCAGTTGTGGTCTTGATTTGGAGGGTTTGGCCATGAAATTTCGTATTGAATTTGGAGAGGAAATATAGGATAAAACAGGGGTTATGCTGTCCAAATTTTGGGGCAGCTTACCACCTTGATTTTGGACTGATTTGGTGATGTACTTGCCTAATATGCTTAGTGAACCTTTAAGCTTTGCTTATGTATTGCATTTTGGTTGAAATGGAAGGGTTTCATTGGGATTTTGTTCCAAATTGCTGGCTAAAATTGTGCTTGTTTGTCGATGGAGAGTGCAGCCTATTACATTGTTGTTTTTCTAACCTTTTAGTAATTGGTTTTGGCCAAAACTTGTTCCAAACTTTGGAGGAGCCTTTTGTGCGTGAATTTGAGTGAAAACTATGAAGATTGGGAAGTGAAAACCTCATGATTGTACTTGTTTCATGGCTGCGAAAAAATTCTGATTTAGAGAGGCAGTTTTACACCTTGCTACCTTTTAGCCTCAACGTCTTTAGTTTGAAAGTCTTTTGGACACAACCTCGCTAACTTGACTTGAGAAAACCTTGTTTCTTTCATTGGTTCGCCGCTGGAAAATTTTCCGCCATGAAGCGAATAAGGAACTTGTTGGTTATTCATGTTTCTTGAGTCCAAAATGCTCTCATACGCTTCAAAACCCTACTTGAGTTTTTGCCCTAGAATATACTTAAATTTTTCCTTGATTTGCATTCTAAATATGGCTGTGTATGTTGGGTTTTGGAAAAAAAAATTTAACTTGGAGAGTTATACGACTCATAGTCGAGTCTAAATTATGAATTATGTTCACTTGGTTATTCTTAGGGCTTGTCTGATCAAAGGGGCAATCCAGGAGGAAACTTTTGACGCTATTTTTGCTTGAACTAGTGAGTGTTCCAACTGCAAGTTCCATGCTACTTGTTGCGCAAATATGACCTGTATATGACTTGTTACTTGAATTGACTTGTTATTACATAGGTGAGTGTGTACTTTATCACACTCGACCTAACTTGACTGAATTCCTGTTTTACTACTATAAGTGAATTATTTTCAAGTGAACTGAGATTCATGCGCATGAGTTGAAAGTAATGGCCTGGATCCTAAACCCCATAGGCTAGTTAATCGAGTCGAGCCGGCAAGGGTCTGGTCGATTAGATAACGAACCTTGGGTCTACTGTTTTGTCGAATGGAGTGTTATCTCCTCGACTAATTGGTATACGCGAGTATTACCACCACTGTTTATGTTTAGAGTTCGGGCCCGGTAGGGGGTTGATTGGTGGATGGAGGTTGGAGTTAAGTGGTGATCTACTGGACTTGTTATGATTCCATGGTTGACGGAGTGTCAACAGATTCTGAACAAGTTGTCATGGAACCTGTTCCCGAGAACAGACTGTATCCTTTTATATGCATGTGTTATCGGATGTACATGGTTAAATGAGTTGTCTGGATGTTATGTTCTTTATGGAAAATGTGATCATGCTATCATGTGAATGCTAAAATGCCTAATTGCTTGTTGTTCTCTTGGAACCTCACTGAGTTTTTAGTTCATCCCTTCATTTGTCTTCCTTAACAGGGTACGGGGATGACAAGGACAAGAATAGTGCTAGTTGTAATAGGAAATCTTAATCTTGTATTTGGACGGCATTGTATTATGGTATTAGTTTACAAGTTTTTATCTTTTGGTCTGTATTTTGGTTTGTATATTCGGATAATTGGTAGTATGTAGATGTTATATTAAAGAGTTTTAGCGTTATTGATTTGCTATCCAAAGAATAAGGAATTCAAAAGTTGTAATCCTTATTTTAAATAATTGCAATCCTATTTATACTTAGAGAAGTGATTACTACTTGCATTTCATTTCGCTTAGTCGTATACATAAGTAGGGAGTTTTTGTGAAGTTGGATGGCTTGTAATATCTATTGGGGAGTTTCGTTCTTACTTTGAAGTTAATGTTATTTCTGAAATTAATGTTAGTAACTGAGTCCTGGCGAGAGCTAGGCAGGCGGTCCGCTAACCTCTGGGGTTCGCCCTTGAGGGAAGTGGGGTCGTCACAAAATGTGCCTTTGCTCAGGCACAAGTAGAATACTTGGGGCACATCATCTCAGAAGAAGGAGTGAAAGCTGACCCTAGGAAGATTGAGGGTATGGTGAAGTGGCCTAAACCAGAGAATGTAAAACAGTTGAGGGGATTCCTAGGCCTGACTAGATACTATAGAAGATTTGTCAGGGGGTATGGTAGTATAGCCAAGCCTTTGACTGCACTGTTGAAGAAGGACAGCTTCCAGTGGGGGGCAGAAGCTGAAGAAGCATTTTAGAGGCTCAAAGGGGCCATGTGTGATGCTCATGTTCTGGCCTTACCTGATTTCAACCAACCTTTTGTGATTGAGACTGATGCCTACTACAATGGAATAGGGGCAGTCCTCATGCAAAAAAGGAGACCCATAGCTTACATCAGTCAAGGGTTGGGACCAAAGAATATGGGGTTATCCATCTATGAAAAGGAGCTATTGGCTCTAGTCACAGCAGTCACCAAGTGGAGACACTACCTAGAGGGTCAGCACATCATCATTAACATTGATCATCAGAGTTTGAAGTACCTATTGGAACAAAGAATCACCACTCCCCTGCAGCAGAAATGGTTAACTAAACTCATGGGGCTGAGCTATGAGATTCACTATAGGAAGGGTAAAGAGAATGTAGTAACAGATGCCTTCTCCGCAGATGCCCTGTCTAGGAGAGGTGATCAAGGCTTGGAGTGCACTACAATAACTACCATAGTACCAAAATGGATCAAAGAGGTGATTAGCAGCTACCAAGGAGATGAATGGGCACAGAACAACATTAGAGAGGTATTGTTGAAACCAGACCAATCTTCCAACCTCAGTTACCAAAATGGTGTACTGAAGTTCAAAGGGAGGGTAGCTGTGGGGTCTGGGGGAGAGATAAGGAGGAGACTGATCAGCACTCTACATGACTCACAGTTGGGAGGGCATTCTGGCATACAAGCAAGCTTCATGAGGGCCAAGCAATTGTTCTACTGGGCACGCATGTACAAGGACATTAAGATAGCTATTCTGGAGTGTGATATCTGTAGGAAATGCAAGGATGAACATGTGTCATATCCAGGGCTACTACAGCCTGTACCAGTTCCACAGTCCACTTGGAGCCATGTCACTATGGATTTTATTGAGGGGTTGCCTAACTCTGAGAGGAGGGATACCATTATGGTAGTAGTAGATAGGTATACCAAGTATGCTCATTTTCTGAGCATTTCACACCCTTTTGATGCCCCAAAAATTGCTAGAATATTCCTGGATAGGGTAGTCAAGTTACATGGAATACTCCAAAGCATGCTGTCAGATAGGGATAGGATCTTTACCAGTCAATTTTGGAGTGAGATGTTTACATTGTTGGGAGCTAAACTGGACCTCAGCACAGCTTACCATCCACAGACAGATGGCCAGACAGAAAGAGTAAATCAGGTACTGGTATGTATCTCAGGTGTTTCTCATATTTGGAGCCAAAGAAGTGGAATCACTGGTTGACTATGGCAGAATGGTGGTATAACACCAATTACCACACAACCATTCAAATGACACCCTTTGAAGCCTTATATGGGCAGGCACCCCCACAGATGGCACTGGGGCCCTACACTCAGGCTAAGGTGGCTGTAGTTGAAGACTATTTGAGGGAAAGGCATAAGGTTGACATTGCACTGAAACAGAACTTAACATAGGCACAGGAGAGGATGAAAAGGTATGCGGATAAAAGGAAGAGTGAAAGGAGGTTTGAAGTTGGAGATTGGGTGTACTTGAGACTGCAGCCTTACAGACAAAGTTTTGTAGCTATGAGAGGCAACACCAAGCTGTCAGAACGATATTATGGACCCTTTGAGGTGGTAGAGAAGGTTGGGGAAGTTGCATACAAGTTGAAACTGCCAACTGGATCCAAAATACATCCTGTTTTCCATGTCTCACTGCTGAAGAAAAAGATTGGAAAGCAGACTACACCTATCTTGTAGCTACCAGAGGTTGATGGAAAGGGGCACTTAAGGGTTGAACCCATAGCAGACTACACCTATCTTGTAGGCAGACTACACCTATCTTGTAGCTACCAGAGGTTGATGGAAAGAGGCACTTAAGGGTTGAACCCATAGCAGTGTTGGACAGAAGAATAGTCAAGAAAAGGAATGCTGCTGCAGTGCAATGGCTGATTCATTGGTGGGGAATAGATCCAGCAGAGGCCACATGGGAATTTGCAGAAGAAATTGAGAAACAGTTCCCTCAATTTCAATCTTGAGGGCAAAATTTTTTAAAAGAGGGAGGTACTGTCATGGAATGCAGAGGATTTGCAGGAAGATCTCTCCAGTCTAGCTTGAAAAAGGGTAAAGGCGTGGTCCATAGAATGGGGAAGGCGTGATTGATCAGCTCCAAGGGAAGAGAATGCGTGATTTAGAAAACCATGCTTTCACTGGTTCATAACAGAATTATGCTTCTGTTATGAACTAGTGGGGCTGATTATTCTAGAATCCATGTGTCCTTAGCTCATTGGCTAGTTTAGAAGTTAGTTAATCCGGGAAAACCATAAAAGCTGAGGAAATCTCAGTGATAGCTAAGTTTTTGTCTTTTTCAATTGATTGTAAAAGAGATTTGGCTCTGCCAATCTCTCTCTTCTTCCTCTCTCGATTATTCCTTCATTTCTTTCCCCTTCTATCTCTGAATCCATTATTTCTGTTCTATATTCAGTTATCAAATTTTTAATGAGAGGTTGAGTTATCAGATCATTACATTTCCAAGTTCCATTCCATTTTTGTTAAGCTCTAGTTCACTGATTGCTGCAAAATCTGCCACCATTGCCTTGAACTGGTTCTATACCATAACAGATTACACAGTCTTTATATAAATTAAGTTGGTTGTCAAGCTTATTGGTATGCCAGTGGGGGTTCTTCCTGTACGATATTTGGGGATTCCATTGATTACCACTATATTGACTAAAGTGATTATTAGCAAATTGCAAAGCAAAATTCTGGCCTGGGCTGCTATAAGTTTACTGATGTTTGGAGTTAGCAGCATACATGTATTTTGGTCAAGTATCTTTGTTCTACCTCAAGGAGTGATTAAAATGTTGGCAAGCTTGATGGCAGCATTTCTTTCGGCAGGAACGGACAAGGTACTTTATGGTGCAAACGTGGCTTGGAAGGAAATCTGCAAGCCGATTATTAAAGAAGTTTGACTGGGGTTACATATTGACTTGAAATTAGAAACACGTGCCTTATTTTGAAACAATTGTGGAATATATGCACTAAATGGATGCCCTTTGCATTAAATGGGTACACGCAGTTCTGATCAATGGCAGATGTTTTTCGGATTTGAAAGTTCAAAATGCTTTCAGCTGAGTTTGGAGGGATATATTGCACAAAATATTTGTTGTTAGAATGTGGATTTAGGTTCAGGATGGTAGGGGCACTTTTTAATGGCATCCCACTTGTCCGTGATTGATGAAATATTCAGAAGGATTGACACAAGCTTCTGGGAGTAGACCTGCTAAGGTGGAAACTTCATTGAGGGTGGGGTTTGGAAGTGGCCTGTAGGAAGCAGATTTACAAATGAGGCTCAAAGACTTCATCAATTCACCTCTGTGACTTTTGTACCAAATGTTAGAGAGCAAGATAGAGTTGTACGGAAATTGAATCCATCTGGGCAATTATAGTCAAATCTCCAATTAAAGGGTTGAAAGAGCATTTGCCTAGTGTGGCAGAAGAATGGAATACCTTGTTTTGCATTTGTTATGTGGTTAATATGCAAAGGGAAGCTGACAACTATAGATCGTTTGTGAAAATGGGGAGTTGGTACTCTTGTTGAATCTGCGTTATGCAATTAGGGGTGTGCATTCGGTACAAATTCACTTATTCAGTTATTTGAATTTGAATTTTTTAGTTATTTTACTTATAAAACTCTAAACCGTTTTGAATTTCGAATTGGGAATAATTGAATTCATTCGGTTACCGAATTGAATTTGGAAACAGTCATGAAATCGGTTATAACCGAATTGGATAGTAATTTTCACATAAATAAAATGGGACTCACTTATATAGTTGTATACACTTAGTCATTTAAAATTTACTAATTATGTGTTGCATTACACTTTACATTTATTCTTATTTTTTTATATAGTTTAAATGCTTAATTTGTAAATAACTTGATTGCTGTCAATAGTGAATGCTAATACACTAATATGTTGACATGTAATTCATAAACATTCGTTTAGACTATTTAATTATAGTGCTTAGTTGTCTATGTTTAAACAAGATTAGTGATTACAGAATATTAATTTACATATTATATATGTAATGTAATTTTAGAGTATACTAATACTTGCAAGTTAAAAGTTACATATTCAAACATTTAATAATCCAAACATGAATGATGAACTAATGTCTAAATTCTAATTATTAATTATGTGTAATATTTAGTACTATACTTATATTTATTATCTAATTCTAGTTATGTATAAAAGGATAAGTATTATAGTTATGTATTATTGTATATTTGTATTATTATAATCAGTTAACAAATACTAAAATAGTGTAATATACATCATTATATATTTTTATTATTATATATATATGATAATACTATATGCTATCTATTATTAATAACCTTTACATATATAATATATTAACACTATATAGCATTTACCTATATATTACATAATTTTTTAAACTAATTTGGTATTCGAATTCGGTAATATGGTACTCTATTTTATTTTGTCGAACTTGAATTTGAAAT